GTCTGTCAGTTGAAATCTCTCTTCTGAGAAGACAAGGGTTGGGATCAGTGCGGATTCACCAGTTATTGCGGACTCACTGCCAGTAGCATTTTCGCAAAGTTCAGGAGTGGGAGAAGGCCCTGACTACAAGAGACATAACCACATAATTAATTTTTCTCTATTTTTTCCCCTCCTTTGCTTAACCCTGGGAAACTGAACTGTTGCAGTTTGACAGTAGATAGTAAGAGCCGGGGGTGGGAGACTGATACCGTGTGTGTGTGTGTGTGTGTGTGTGTGTGTGTGTGTGTGTTGCCACCCAGCTGTGATAATTGGATTTGGGCAATTATAGATAATGATTATAGTGATCATAAATCATAAATACGAGAGGACAACTCCTAAGGTGGTCTTGGCATGGCCCACATGTCAGAGGTTGGGAGACATTCTAGGATGCTATGAGTTATATAAGAAAAAAACTACTGAAGTAATTAGGGATAAGTCTGAGTGCATGGTGTGGGTAAGACACAGGAGAGTTGGGAAATAGGTGGAGTGATTGTTGCAGGGACTAGTCATATCGATCGTGTAGCTGTGGAACGAGACGAACAACAATCCTGGTTGGTAAGAAAACACCTTAGACTCTGGGTTGTCAGGGGCAGAGGTGTAACCACCCAACAGGTTTGCCTTGCCTGCTGCCTAGACAGAGCTGATTTGTCAAGACATGGTAATTGTAATTGAGAAAGAGCAGAGAATTCAGGCAGAGCCAGTGTATGGAAGACTGGAATTTTTATTATGACTTAAATAAGTCTCCCTGAAAACTCTGGGGTTGGGGTTTTAAAAGATTATTTGGTGGGTAGGGGGTTGGAAAGTGGAGCATCCTGATTGGTCAGGTCAGAGATGAAATCATAGGGAGTTGAAGCTGTCCTCTTTTGTTAAGTCAATTCCTGGGTGGGGGCCCCAATGCTAGATGTGCCAGTTTACTGATCTGGGTGGTGCCAGCTGATCCACTGAGTGCAGGGTCTGCAAAACATCTCAAGCCCCGATCTTAGGTTTTACAGGAGTGATTTATCCCCAGGAACAATTTAGGAAAGTTCAGAATCCTCCAGCCTCCAGCTGCATGATTCTGAAACCATAATTTCTAATCTCGTGGCTAATTTGTTAGTCCTGCAAGGGCAGTCTCGTCTCCAGGCAGGAAGGGGGTTTGTTTTGGGAAAGGGCTGTTACGGTCTTTGTTTCAAAGTTAAATTTTAAACTAAGTTCCTCCCAAAGTTAGTTTGGCCTCTGTCCAGGAATGAACAATGACAGCTTGGAGGTTAAAAGCAAGAGGGAGTCGGTTAGTTCAGATCTCTTCCACTGTCATAATTTTCTCAGTTAAAATTTTTGCAAAGGTGGTTTCAGAAAGAAGGCCCATTAATTTATCTTAGCTACTATCTACAGGATATCTGGTTGATTTAACCTAGACTTCTGCTATCACTATCAACTTGACCACTGGACAACAAACAATCTTAATTTTAAAACTTTCGGAATCTTCCCAAAGCCTCACTAAGATACAACATAACAAAGTTAACTTTCTGAAAATTTATATTATTCCCTTTGGCGTCATTCTGTTATCACTGGACTGTTTTGTACATTTTTTGCAGACCACCTATTGTTCTAAATTCTCCAGCATGACTGATAGTGGACAACGGCATTGTTTTGGATTTTCTGCTGGTTAGCTCAGGCATGATATATGCCATTACCAACACCTCTTGCCTCACCTGCATTCAGCCCTATTAACTGACTTCGATCTGGATTGGGAACCTGTCTACCATCCAGTGGAACTGATTAAACTACAGGGACTTGTAATCTTAGTTACTCTGATTTAATGTTGCCTAAGAAATGGAATGGATCCGGTCTAAGCCTTTATCAGTACAATTAATTAGAGTATCTGATGAACTTATGTGGCAGTTTATGCTCCTGAGAATTCTTAACCATCTGTGTGATAGGTTGGGAGGTAGAGTTGTAGAGGAATGACTCTGCCAGGGTACCCTGGCAATCTTGCATATATCTACATAGGCCACACAGGCAAGAGCATGAATAGTAGCTATTCTAAGACTTAGCAGGTTGTCTTGTGATCATCCAGAACACAAAAGGATAAGAGGAGCTTTACAAGGTCATCCTAAGGAGGGAGACCCAGGCATTTGGGATTCCCTCCTCCCTCTGTCACATCCATTGTGCATCTCAATAGTAGAGAGAGCAGGCCAGCTGGCGCCTCCTGAATCACCTTCCTGTAAATAGCATGCTTGGTATTGGAGAAACTCTCTGGAAAATACTGTTTTTACTTAAACGAGGTCAAACCCCCACCCCACTCCTCCATCCGGAGACCAGAAGCCTTTCGCCTGTAGTTCCTAAAACTGTAAACCAGAACCCTTTCATATGTAATTCCTGAAACTGTAAACAGAAACCTTTTCACATGTGAGCACTAAAACTGTAAACCGGAATCCTTTCATACGTAATTCCTGAAACTGTAAACAGAAGCCTTTTCACATGTGAGTCCTAAATCTGTAAACCGGAACCCTTTCATATGTAATTCCTGAAACTATAAACAGAACCTTTTCACATGTGAGTCCTAAAACTATGAACTTAAGATTCTTCCACGTGTAACATCTAAAGTATAAGCCTATATAAAGGCTGAACCTCCCTTTGTTAGGGGAGCTTGGCTGTTGGGCACATATGTTACCGAGCTACCAGCTGCAAATAAATTCCTTCCTCCTGCATTCGGTGTGTGAGAGATCCTTTCCCTGCGGCTGCTCCTGCTACAATCCTTCACTCCCTTCCCTGTCTCCTGTAGGGGGCTGTCATGAGATAGTTTTTCATTGCTTCTGAGATTCTGATGAAGCATGAGACTTTGTTCCTCCAGAAGGAAGTAGCGTTATAGTCAACAGTCACAACCTGAGTAGGGTGGGTCCTCCCAGGACCACAATTGTACCTCCCAACCTATCATACATATGGTTAAGAATTCTCACGAACATGAGCCACCACATAAGTTCATCACTCAATCCAATGTGCGTTGTAGGATACCCACTTCTGAGAAGCCAGTTTTAGACTGCAGCAGTGTTGCAGTCTAAAATTGGCTTCTCAGAAATGGAGTATCCTTCAACTCACATTGCAGTCATCCAGCTCCCTTTTGTTTCATGGCATTCTTTTTAGCATGTAGGATGAGGACCTGAGGAGCTGGCCTATTTGGCTACTCTTCCTTTTGCTGTCTGTGTAGATACATTGTATGAGTCTAAAAATGCCTTATTTTATCTTTTTTTTTTTTTTTTGAGATAGAATCTTGCTCTGTTGTCTGGGCTGGTGTGCAGTGGCAGGATTTTGGCTCACATAAGATGTCCTGCTTCTAGTTAGCCCATCTGTAATACTCCCATGCCAACAACTTCCAATAAGGGAATGCCTGAAGCCATTCCTTTTTTCCATTATGAGGCTTTTCCCACTCTTCTGCCTTCCAGTCTGCTGAATGCAGATGATGAGGGCTGACTCTCTTGTCATATGTAGCAAGCTCTGAATAATTGTCTTTGTTCTCATTTGAGTAGTCTTTTATTTTTACAATTTTTAAAATAATTTCCTGGCATGTTGTGTGATGTTAGGTAAGCCATTTTCTCTCTTTGGGCCTTAATTTCTTCAATTGAAAAGTTGGTTCAACATGTATTCATTCTTTCATTCTGTAAGCCAAAAATAAAATTCTAAGCTCCCTGACCATCTGAATGAATCTCTCCTCTTGGCCAAGGACATTCCAAAGTTAACCTGAAAAACTGGTTCAGGCCATGACGGGAAAGAGGAGTTGGGCATGCCTCATTATGCCCCCTCCCTTTTGAAATTCAGGCCCAGCTGACCAGCGTTAACATCAACACACACCTTAAGGCTGATAGAACAGCCTCTTTAAGTCTCACAGACCATCAGGTAGTGTGATAATGATAAGAAACATTTACAATCTATTCTTTGAAGCCTGTTACAGGCTCCATCTGCATGATAAAACCTTGGTCTCCTAAAGCCCTTATCTTAAGTGAGACAGCCCTTTCTATTGATTCTAACTCTCTAGACAATAACTTAACTCTTGTAAACAATTGCTGCTCAGAAAATCTTTGAATCCACCTATGCTCTGAAAACCCCCCTCGTCCAGTCGTCCCACCTGTCCAGACTGAACCAATGTACATCTTACATGTATTAATTGATGTCTTCTATCTTCCTAAAATCTATAAAACCAAGTAGCCCAACCACGTTGGGCCCATGTTCTCAGGATCTCCTGGGGCTGTGACACGTGCCACGGTCACTCATATCTGGCTCAGGATAAATCTCTTCAAATATTTTACAGTTTGACTTTTCGTGGACAATTCTACAAATATTCCTCGGCAGTTAAAGAAATTGCTCCCCAGGAGGTGCTAGACATTAGGCGAATGTTAGAGGCACAAAGACGAGAATGCTGAAGACGTAACATGAAACACTGGTCCGCTCTGGGAATGCAGAAACTGGTAAAAGAAGAGATAAATGAGCAGGTGCAGTCGAGTGAAGTACCCGCTATCTCCTATCAGCATATAGCTGTCCGCCTGGGGTGCAGCGAGCTGGAGAGGAAGGGGTGCCCTGGAGTGCCCGGGAAGGATTCCTCTCCAGCCTCCTGCACCCCTATCCCGGTAGCGGCCCCTGGGATCGTCGGTCTCCAAGAGAACCGGACCGCTCTCCTCTCCCTCCCAGGGCGAGAAAGGAGGACCACAGAGACGCGGCGCCCTCCGCCGTCCTAGAGCAACCGGAGCAGCCCGAGCCCCGGCCTCCCGGGTCCCCGAGTCTGGCTGGCGCCTGGCGCGGGCAGCCGTGCGTGGGGTGGCCAGCCGTGCGTGGGGTGGCAGCGAGTGGAGTTGGGGGTCTTACCCGGGCGGCTGCAGGGCGCGGGGGTGCAGTGTCAGGCCTGCCCAGGTCCAGAGCACTCCTCCCCGACCCCTGCACCTCCGGCCGAGTCTGGGGGACGCTCTCTTTCCCGGAGGGCGACCTGGGCTATGGCGGCCGCGGCCTTGGTGAGCGGGACACACCTCGGCCCTGCCCTCGGGCTGCTGCCGGGACAGCCCACGCTGCCCTGGGCGTGCCCGGTGAGTGTGGGGCTGGAGCCTGGAAGCAGGCTCGGCCCTGCCCTGGGTTCTAGGCCCCGAGACGGAGTGGTGCAGCGGCTGGGAAATGGGGGTACAACCCAGAATGGGGGCCCTCGAGGGACAAGCAGCAGAGCGCAGTCGACACCCCCGGACATGAGCCTCAAGGAGAGCAGACGTGCACCAGTACGGGGTTGAGCCGACTGCTGGGGCAGAGTGCACAGGGTGCCGTGGGTGGATTAATGGCCAGAATTTCAGAGCCAGCTTTACAGAGCTGGTTATGTTTGAGCTGGGGATTAGGTTGAAAAGGAATTTGCAGTGCAGAAGCAAGAGAGAAGAACTGGATATTCAGGCAAGAGTAGCTGCAGGTGCAAGGGCACAGAACTACTCAGTATGGAGACTGAGACCCTGAGGGAGGCAGTGCTGAGAATTACAGGAAGTCTCCATGGCTGGAGGTCAGCACTATTTGTTTCTCAAGGAAGAGGATGAGAGAAAGGAAAGAGCTTGCAGGGCCTGAGATTCCTAGAGACATAGAAAATGAGGATGTGGAGATTGGGGCATGGGGAAGCGAGGTGGGATGCTTGAGAGCGTGTGTTGTGGGTGGGGAGGGCAGGGAGTAAAGGCACAGCAAGGATCTACCCTGTGGAGTACAGTCTCCAGGGCAACATGAGTGTTGGGAGGATCCCCTAGCTGCCTCCGTGGCCGGTGGCAGTGACTGGGGAGGACAGAGGAGGAAGAATCCTACACAGGGGCAGCAGGGATAGCAGGAGTGGGGATGGAAGGCAGTGTGGCATAAGAGGCAAGAGCCAGAGTCAAACAGTCCTGGGTTCTGTCTCAGTTCTGGAACTTTCGGGCAAGTGAATCTCTCTGAGCCTCAGTTTCCATCTGATACCCTCCTTGCAGGCTATGAGACATAAACTAAGTAATACATGTCAAGGGCTTGGCACAGGCTTAATAAATGATAGTTGTTATCAAGGGTGGGTGACCTCCGAAGGAGGACACATTGTGGAGAGAGGATGGGACCTAGAGATGTGGTTTGGGATATAAGGATGAAACTAGAAAATGTTTGCAGACTCTTAAAAAAAAAACATGTTTGCTGAAATAAAGGTGAAAAGACATGAGAAAATTGATGGCTGATGCCTTGTCTCTTTGTACATAGGAGGCAAAAATCTTCTGCTGAGAGAGTACCTGTAGACATTCAGAATCCAGAATCCCCGCAGGCATCCCCACAGTACCTTTTGGTGCCCTGTCTCCCCTTCCTCCAGGCCTGGTCCTGGGGTTGTCCTAGGGCCTTTAAACACTTGTTTCAGGAGTCAGTGACCTTCGAAGATGTGGCCGTCTACTTCTCTGAGAATGAATGGATCGGCCTGGGCCCTGCTCGGAGAGCACTCTACAGGGATGTGATGCTGGAGAATTACGGGTCTGTGGCTTCCCTGGGTAAGGGTCTCTCCCTTTGGGCCTTGCCTCCAACCTTCAGGGTTTCCTGGCTTCTTTCTCAAAGGCTCAGGAGTTGTTGTTAACATCCCAGCTCGGTGGCAGCTTCAGGCTCTTAGATTTTTAATGACCCAATCTCAGCAGTTGTTGGGAAATAGGAAGTCCTGGTATCAGTTTGGGCCTTATACAGGATTTCCTTGCCCCAGAGTGAGAGCTGCCCAACCCCAACCCTTGTGTTTTGGGGATAGTGAGAAGAGAGCAGATTCATGGTGCCCCACTGAGCCTTCAGTTCCCTGCCCTCTTGGTTTGCAAGATCCAGCCCAATTCCAAGCATCCTCATGAGGATGTCTGAACTTGAGAGCGCTAAGAGGGAGAGGACAGAGAAGAATTGAGGACTCAATTCCTCAATGAGTGAAATTATCCATTTGCTGACTCAGTTATTGAGTTCTCTGTCAACTTCCTGACCTTTGTAAGTCTCCTGGCTCCTCTCCTGTCCTTTACCCTGGAATTCCATTTTTTGTTCCTCTTAGTTATTTTCCTTTTTTCCTCTCCTGCCCCTGAAGACACTGGCCTGGGAGGAGCCTTGGGATTACTCTGTGTCACACCACTCACCTGCCTGTCCTGTTTCCTTCTCCTTAAGCAGCATTTCCATTTCCCAAACCGGCTCTGATTTCCCAGCTGGAGCAAGGCGAAGCACCCTGGTGCTTGGCTCCTCGGGGAGCTCTGGATGGAGAGGGCCAGAGGGGCATCTCAGGTGAGTGAGGGCACATGTGCCAGTTATCTGACCAGTTTCTTTGTCATGATCATTAAAATGTCATAGATATGTGTTCTTTTAACCTAGTATTGTAGACACTAGTGGGATTCTTTTTCCTCTGTGTGTTACCATGTTTTCCATCTTCTTGAGTCCTTGTTTTATTCATCCTGGCTCCTCTGTGTGCCATCTTCATTAACCTGTTTGGCCTCTTCCCCGTCTCTGCTGTTATGGCTATCACGTATCTTTGCCCCCTGAGTTTCCTGTTTACTCTGATCTTGGGTGCCCTTTCTACTTCCTGGCCTGCTTAGAGTCTTCCAGCTTGGGATATAATGACCATCTTTATCATTAGAAACCAAGAACTCTCAACCCTCAGCCAAATATTTCCTATTCCTCAGGGGAAAGCCCTGGGATTACTTTAGGCCGAACAGGACTTTCTTGCTCTTAGTTTTCCTAGTGGTAACTGTGTTTCCTGGTTGCCTCCTTGGCCTCATTTCATCTTCCCACAAGGCTCTTCTGTGGGCACAGTGAGACTTGAGCCGTGCTCCCAGTACCCTTATTCTCACAGTTCCTTGTTCTGTCTTTTCACATTAGAATGCTCTTGATTGCAGGTATTAAAACCCAATTCAAGCTGGCTTAAACGAAAAAGAAGAATTTGTTGTTTCATGTAACTGGGAAGTCTGAGGTAGAGTGGGCTGCAGGTACAGTTTGATCAGAATTACAGTCTGGTCTGTCTTCATATGTGTTGGCTTTGTCTACAGTCTGGCTCCCCTTTTGGTTGTAAGGTGATTAGTGGTAGTAACAGGACTCTGCTGCTTCATACGTAGGGAAGGAAACCAGACAGCCCTTCCTTAGGCTTTAAAAAATGTGAATCAAGGTCCTAAGTATTCTCTAATGGACTACCTTAAGTCATATGCCAGCTCTGAGTCAATCACTGTGACAAGCGAACTACTATGCACTGATTGACTTGGTCTGAATTGCCGATCCCTGAATCAGTCTCCTGTGTAGTGAGTGAGATAGGATTAACCTGCTTGGCTTAGCCAAGTCAGAGCTTACCCTAGGAATTGGAGTTCGGATACCCAACCACCTACTCCAGCTCCCTACAAAGGGCAAAGCTACTTTACAGTGGGGAGGAGTGGAATAGGTGTAGGGAGACCACCACAGCATCCTTTGCATTCTCAGTGCTTCCTCTCCTTACCATCTAAGGGAATTTCTCTGCTTTGCTTTGCATTAGGTAGAAAACCAACAGCTAAGTTACTCTGTGACCAAAATTCTAACTCTCTGACCTGCAGCTGATTTCCTTGGCACATACCTGTCCCTACTCAAAGTCCACGTTTGTCTTACAGAAGTTAATACTCAGAGGATACATAGTTCCTGGATTTGGCAACAGAAATGTTTGTCATTTGAAGATGTAGAATTGATCTGTTTCTTGGTAGGTTTTCGATGAGGGTTACGAAGAGACGGTTCTAGTGAAAGCAGAAGTAAAGTGTGTTAGAGTGGATCTCTGTGGACAGTAGTTACTGTTCTTACTCAGTATGTTACTGAGTAAGAAGTGGCTTTTGGAAATGGCTGAGTGAGGGCATGAGTTCATCTTTTATGGATGCTATAGAGAAACCCCATCATTGAATCTATGTGGAATGAGAAAGCAATAAATGGATAGGAAGGAAGGAAACTAGGAGATTATGGTTTCCCAGAATAGCCTTTCTAGACAGGGAGTCCTCAAGAATAGCTCTTTGCAATTCCATCACATCCTGATTGTTTTCTATGTGAATTTAATTTCATTTCCTAGGGACAGGTGCAGAAAAGGCCTTAGTCTTTTCTATTTCTTCTTGACATTTATAAATGAGTGATATATTTTCATATCTTTGGGAACTGATAGAATTGTAGCTTCTCTATTCTAGTATTTTCTATCCTTTATTAAGTATGTATGTATTTATTTTTTGAGATGGAGTCTCACTCTGTTGCTCAGGCTGGAGTGCAATGGTGCAATCTGGGCTCACTGCAACCTTTGCCTCCCGGGTTTAAGAAGTGATTTTCCTGCCTCAGCCTCCTGAGCAGCTGGGACACAGGTACACACCACCATGCTTGGCTGATGTTTTTTGTGTTTTTAATGGAGATGGGGTTTCACCATGTTGGCCAGGCTAGTCTTGACCTCCTGACCTTAGGTAATCTGCCCAACTTGGCCTCCCAGTGAACCACTGCGCCCTGCTTATCCTTTATATTATTATACCTTCAAATTTCTGCTTATCTATGTTACTAGTCTTTTCACCCACCTTTATTCTCTCCCTACCACTTCCATGTCTGCTTCTTTCTTGATGGTCCTCACTCCTCTGACTGAGCCAGCCTCATTTGTATCTTGACCCTGGCAGTATATCTATTTCTAAAGCCTGCGGGGATTTCCCATCTTGAGCAGCTGGAAGAGCCATTGAACCTGAAACTGCAAGGAGAGGGTCCAAGCCTACTTTGTCCTGGTAAGTGAGAGGGAAATGAGCATTCTTTTCCCAGTCACACCTTTTCCTATCCCTCCTTTATAAAACATAAAAATTCATTTTGCTATTATAGTTCTAAACAAATTTGGGGGCCAAATCCCCAAATCAACCAATTAAACCCTAAGCTTCCAACTTTCATTAGGACAAGCCCAATTAATTAAATTAATTTAAAAAGGATGAGTCTTGGGTCTTAGGCTTAAACTGAACAGATGGCCTGCCCATCTGGCTGCTATGATCACCCAATATTTTTAATGTAGATGCTGTATTTTACTCATTGTGTTAGTTGCTAGGGATAAAATAGTCAAGTCATATATGGTCCTTATCCTGGAAGAACTCACATTCTAATATGACATAATGTATAATCACATTCTAATGTGACATGAATGTATAATTACAGAAAAATGATGAAGCTGTAACAGAAGGTGAATAAGACACTATGAGAACAAAGAAGAGAGAGTCTTTGCCCAGTTCTGCCTGGAGTAGTTTGAGGAAGTTCTTTTCATGGTTTCATGGTGAACTTGGTGATTGGATTGAAAGAGAAGACTATGCTATACTTTAGTGTTGAAAAGTGTGAGGAAACTCATTCTTGCTACTGTCCACTGTGTGTGACAAGCCCAGGTTCCCAGGTATACCACTAAGGATTCCTTATTTCTGAACAGGTCCTCTGCCCTGTGTCCTGGCCTGTTCTTCTCATGTTATAAACTGTACTCAGCTACCTAGGAGGAATTCTGACTTGTTTGCCTTAGATTCAATTCACCTGTTTTCTGAGAGCTTGGTTTGGTGCTTGGAATCGTAACCCTCAGGGATTCTGTCTAGTTGCTGTCTTTTGCTTTTGGTTTCTTTCTGTGTGTTAGCCTTGTTTTTGCCATTTTCAGCTAGGACAGGCCACTGAGACATGGATGGCACTTAGAGAGAAGTGGACATATTAATACCACTTGGTGACCTTAGTCGCGCTGTCATGGATAATGATGACATTTAAAGCTCTGATTTCTTTTCTCAGAGGGTGTGTGAAAGAGGAAGAAAGATTTTATTCTGAAGGAGGAAATTCTTGAGGAAGCACAGGACCTCATGGTCCTATCAAGTGGACCCAGGTGGTGTGGATCCTGGGAATTATGGTTTGGGGAAACCTGTAAAGGGAAAAGCAGGTTAGGGAGATGGCCTGGTTACCTCAATGGGGGAAGTATGGAAAGTTCAACAAATGATATTGAAGAAGTAATTGTCAAGGATGAGAAGATCTCAGTAGAAGAGAGTTCAGAGAATACTGTCAATAAACTCATTGGTATACATCACAGAATTCTAAATGAGCAAATATTCTGTATATGTAAAGAATGCAGCAAGTGTTTTGATCAACACCAGAAAACTCATAATGGAGAGAAGGTCTATGAATGTAAGGAATGTGGGAAGGCTTTCAGTTTTCAATCACATTGCATTGCACATCAGAGAATTCACAGTGGGGTGAAACCCTGTGAATGTCAAGAATGTGCTAAGGCCTTTGTTTGGAAGTCAAACCTGATTCATCACCAGAGAATCATACTGGAGAGAAACCTTTTGAATGTAAGGAATGTGGGAAGGGCTTTAGTCAGAACACAAATCTTACACAACATCAACGGATCCATACTGGGGAGAAACCTTACACATGTAAGGAATGTGGGAAAAGTTTTACTCGAAACCCAGCACTTCTTCGACATCAGAGGATGCACACTGGGGAGAAGCCTTATGAATGTAAGGACTGTGGGAAAGCCTTCATGTGGAACTCTGATCTTGCTCGGCACCAGAGGGTCCACACTGGTGACAAGCCTCATGAATGTACTGACTGTGGGAAAAGGTTCTTTTGCAAGGCACACCTTATTCGGCATCAAAGAATCCATACTGGGGAAAGACCCTGTAAATGTAATGACTGTGGGAAGGCCTTCAGTCAGAATTTTGTCTTAATTAAGCACCAGAGGTGCCATGCTAGAGACAAACTGTATAACTGTCAGATCTCTCACCTTCTTGAACATGAACGAGTGCATAATGGTGATCTTTGTTTATAAATCGTATGCTACAGGAACCCCAGAGACAAAATGAGATGACCATTCACAATTTGCTGTAACCCTTAACTTTAATAGCTGGTATTATCTTGCCCTTTTGAACATATATCATGTACTCTAGCCAGACTGGTCCCCCTGTTCTGTGATGTTTGTACAAGGTGTCATTTAGTTGGGCAGCTACTCTATCAGGTGCTAACCACTTTACGTACATTGATTAATTTGCACAACAATCCTATTAAGGTAGGTGCTCTTCTCCCCACTTTATAAATGAGAAATCTGAATTGAAAGAGGTTATAAAACTCATTCAGGGTTTCTCAGTAAGTTATGGATTTGAAATTGGAGCCAGGCCTATCTGACTGCAGAGTTAGTACTGTTCTTTACTTAGTTGTACATATTTATGCCTCTGCCCATTATTATTTGCTCATTTTCTGTGCTTTTAGTTTCCCTTCATCACTTAGATCCAGCTCCTTCAACTAAGCAGATCTCTCTTCCTCTTCTACTTGTAGTCAATACCACCCAAGTTAGTATTTAATTATGTGTCATCTTATATTTTTCTAATAGTCTCATGTCTCAGTCTTAATCTCAGCTGAATGAATCTTTGAAGACCAACACTGCATTTCTTTGATATTTTTCAAATCCTGAAACATTTATCTTTGACTAAATATAACATGCGCATGATAAAAAAAAGAATTGAAATAGTTGAAAAGGGTGTTCAGTGAAAAGTAAATTTTCTTGTCATTCCTGTCTCTGAATTCTCCCCAGGGGCAATCACTGCTACTGGTTGTGTATCTCTGTAGATATTTTTTGTATACAAGTGTTTATTTGTACTGCTTTTCATAAGTCTGCCTCACTGAAAACCTTATTTGATGGAGACAGCATTGCAGTTACATTGTCAACTCCAGGACCTTTTCTTCAGAAGTTGCTATGAAGTCACCAAAGTAATTTGGGGAAACAGCAGAGAGTAGTCCAGGTCTTGAGAAAACTGATTGCCCTTGTTTCATGAGACAACATTCTGGGATTGGGAATATGTAAACTCAACTGGAGATTTTTTTCATGAAAATTTATATAGTTTGGCTTGTGTCAATCAGCTTATCCCATCCCTGGCCACAGAGCCACTGTGATATGAGGAGATACTGGGCCTTCTGGAAAAGAGAGACTTTTCTTTGAGAGCTATCAGAGGAGATATTATCTGTCCTCTGTGCGGCACATAGGAAAATGTGAGGCCTAGAACTACAACAACTTTTTTTTTCTACTAAGAGGGGAGATTCTAGAGCTTCCAGGTGCTACCATATGGAGCCTGAGGATAAAACCAATACCAAAGAAGACAGTGGCAAAACAGAGAGAAACTAGGTCCTTGGTGACATCTTTTGAGCCACTAGACCAAGCCTTGCCTGAAGCAGACCTACCTCAGAACTTTTCAGCTATGTGAGCCAATAAACATCTTTTGTCAAATGAGTTAGAGTTGAGTTTTCTGTTATGTGCAACTTAGCCACACAACTACAGTCTTAACGTTTGAAAGCACTGTTTTCTCATACAGCTCCTCAGTGTCACCTTTTACTCTGCTTAGTAGTTTCATAAGCTCTTTATTTTTATCTCATCTCAGTTGCTTGGAAGTTGAGCATCTAAATAGGGGGCTCTCATGACCTACAGTTAATTTCATGCATACTACCTAACTGATGTTTTAAGCCATACTATTAATGCAGGATTTTTCCTCCTTAGTTCAGCTAAAATTTGGGTTCTTGTCTCATGACCAGGAAAAATCAGGTGCAGGGTCACATTGAAAAGTGAGGAGGGCAGAATTTATTAAGCAAAAAGGAAAACTCTCAACAAAAAGAGGGGTCCTGTATGCAGGTTTTCCATCCCACTAAATTGAATACCAGGCCACCACACATGAGCTAAGAGCCTAGTCTTCTCTCCCTGCGTAAGGCATGAATTCCTGGTGGCTCCACCCCATTCTCCCAGTGAGCAGGCAGGCTCTTAGTCTGAGCCACTCCACATTGATTTATTTTCCTTACTGCATATGTGTTAAGGGATAGAACTTTTCACCATGGGCATCTTTAGGCAAGCCCCTGTGCACAGTGACCTGGACAGCATTTGGCTGTCTCCTGCCTCTATCATTTCCACCTCTAAAGAAGTACATCTAACTGCCCTTAGAATAAGGATAAGGATAACGACTGTTCTTAACTGCTTCCTGCTGATAGTCATACTGTTTTGGAAAAGCAGCAGTCAGATCTCCCTCAGAGGCCTATTTAAGGGTTCCTGGTAAAAGGCAGCCATCGTTTGAGGCTCTAATTGCATGACCGTTTGGAATTCAATGGCCTGAAGGTGAGAAGAGACAAATCAGGTTGTTAGAAGACATGATCAAAATGAAATAAAGGGGGGATGGTAAGGACAGCTCAGAAATCCTGAGGCTGCTGACACACCCAGATAACTGGTGGCTATAGTTATGCCTGCTAAGATTTGGGTGTATGGGGCTTGGCTTTGGTTAGCTCCCTTGGTATTATTTTCCCAAAAAAGAAACCCGTGGGTTATAGGCACCTTATTTACTTCAATCACCTGGCATTATTTGCAGTGTAATTGCCCAGAACTAGAATATTGATCCAGATTTTTACCTTACTCATCACTTTTGTTTCTTCTGAGCTGCAGCCAGAGATTACTGCTTTGTTCATAGGAATAAGCAGCATTAGTTTAAAACGTGGACAAAAAACTTAAAAACAACTAATGAGTCTAGAATTTAATGACAAAGGTATGATAAATCTTGAAATATAATTTCTCTCCAGTTCTCACTTTTGTTAAAAATAAATCATGATAGGACTGAGTTGTTTCCAAGATAAACTTTAGTATTGTATTTAGCCTGATTATTTGCATAAAGTACAGCAAGAATAATTATTTTTACATAGGCTTTTAAAAATTGACAAGGAATCTCAGGACTCTTAAAGCTGAGCCCAGCCATGGGTTTGTACCCTTAAATAACTATGAGTTGGGTGAATTTCTCCCTTCTTGAGGTCCCAAGAATATGGGGTTCCTGGGCCTGTTAGCATATGACATTCCTTACTCACTGCAGGTTAGGAAACCTGTATGGGGACTGTGTAGACAAGGTATGAAGTCAGTTTTCCTAAGGGGATTTTATTGGCTCTGTAAGTCAAGCTTGGTTTCTAAAAGGGAAATCAAGTCAAAGCCTTGGTAAAACAACCAGTTTCTCCAATTGCATCCTCTTGCAAAAGAAAATTATTATTATTGCAATGATGCAAAAAACTATATTGCCATAAATTAGGAATACTCACAGCTAGTTTCCAAATTCTGGAGAAGCCAAGCAGAGAGAAACAAATATCCTCCAAATTTTGTTCACAGGAGTATAGGGCCTTACTCAATTATTAAAGGCTGTTCGTGGCTCAAAATAAGTTTCCTTGACTCTGAAAACAAAACAAAGATCAGCAATATTTCAAGCAAAAACTTAAAAAAAAAGATTACTTCCGTTTTCTATTGGTTCAATACATTTCTGTTAACTCTTGTTGTCTGATATTCTTGAACATTTAAGCTCTTCATGAGTCCTGCATGTTTTCCTTTATTCCAATGCCATGATCTCCAAGGTTATCAGAAACTTGCATTTGAGAGCACCTGTTAAAGCCCTATGGCTGATTATAAACCATCCTTTGAAGAGGATCAAAACAAGACAAATGTCTGTGATCGACAAAATGTCCAGGGTAGTTAGAGTTAAAAATATAATGACAAAGAAAATTTGGTTATTTCTGTGGTTTACAGTAACATAACCTTAATTATGATTGATAACATATACTCAGACATTAGAATTACAGACATCCAATACAATTTTGGAATATATGTTAATATTCCCTAAAATATAATCTGAAGAAGATTAAACATCATTTTGACAATTCCATGTACCTAACCATGTCAATCCTGTTTATCTCTTCTGAGTGCCGCAGGGGCCCTCTGTAGCATCCAATAGCTAGGAGTAAGGAAAAACAACCTTGAAGCTGAAATTTGATTTTGGGAATCCTGTTAAGTATATTAGAGGTTTAAAATATTTGATGTTATGAAATAGAATTTCAAGCCCTGTGTGGCTCATGCCTGTAATCCCAGCACTTTGGGAGATTGGGGTGGGTGGATCACCTGAGGTCAGGTGAGGCTGGTTTGAAACCAGCCTGGCCAACATGGTAAAACCCTGTCTCTACTAAAAATATGAAAATTAGCTGGGTGTGGTGGGAGGCACCTGTAATTCCAGCTACTCAGAGACTGAGGCACAAAATTACTTGAACCCAGGAGGTGGAGGTTTCAGTGGGGACATATGGAATTAACCACTTGAGATGGTGCCCCTGCACTACAGCCTGGGTGACAGAGCAAGACTCCATCTCAAGAAAAAAATAGAATTCCAGATTACTATAAGTAATTAATTTTGCCAAAATGATAGCTCAGAAATTTGAAAAAACAAACACCTTTCATTAGCCTTTACTATTACATGAAAATCCTGTTCAAGAGAGAATCCAAATTTCACCCTTGCATTTGTTTACTATTAATGTCAATCCCAATTTACAAAATTAAATCTTATAGACCATTATATCCAAACATAACCAGTTTGACCATGAGGTAAGATTCTTATAAACCTTTTATAACATTTTACAAATTTTACTAAAGAGCAGATTAGTGCCTTAAGAAAACCTTGTTGTGCTTTTATTTTAATACTCAATTTTACAGAAGAACCATATTATACCCTTTTGAATTTAATGTTCACACACAGTTTATTTTGAAAGATTTTACCTTTTAGAAACCTTCCATAACTTGTTTAAACCTTTAGCTTTATCTTATCTAATTTAAAACAATCCTTAACCCCAGGTAAAAATTCACATTTCCATGCCTTCTTGTAATCTTTTACTAAAAACACACTTTACTGTTCTTACACACTTTGCATGTAACTCTATTTTCAGTAGTCTCAATTACATGTTATAATGATAATTCTTAGCAATTCTTAACTTTAATGTAAAGCCTGGTAAGTTGTTTTAAT